TGTAGGGAAGGAGGTGTCAGTACATTTACCTACTCTTCTGTTTCTGACAGCTCTGGGCAAAATGTTATGTGTCACAGAGCTTACTGATGCTTGTCACAGGTTCACCTGTTCCCTCTTCTGAATGCCCCCTCTTATACTGCAGTGCTTACAGCTTCTAGTCCTATGCAGATGGAAACTCCCAATTCTTTAACACTTTTATTAAAACTGGAGTCATAATATTCTACTTCGTTTCTAACAACTCTCTCAAAACCAGCAATAGCAAAAACTGGCCCTGAGAGAGACGAGATCTTGGGGAGCAGCATATGGCTTGCATGGGAAGGCACTTTAATGATCATGGCTCTGGGAGCAAAGCTGAGTTTCTTTTCTTCTCAGAAGGACAGACAAGCTTAACACTAGGTGAATCCCAATCACACACACTCAGATTTAAAGTATTTTCACTGGAAAATACAATGGTCTATTACAATCTAAGTTTTTAAGAAGATGGAAATAAAAATACATTCAGATAGCAGATTGAAGGCTCACACAAGTAGTGACATTTCATCCAGACTTAATTTGTAGGTTTATAAGGTGTTTTAAAAAAATGTTAACATTAACATCATATCTAAATGTTATTCTTACTTCTCAGCATCTCTGATTGTCTTTCTTTTCATTCTCATAGTCAAGTCTCTTGTTCAAGACTTCCTAACAATTAAAATACCTGATGGCAATACCTTTCCTTTTGTTTTTTACACAAAATATATTACTGTCCCTTCTGTAGAGAAACATTTCTGTCATTCCTTTCTTTCAGTCTTCCTTTGCCACCTATTACCAAATCAAATGTATAATTTTTAAACCTTTCCCCCTCTATCTTCAGAGCATCCTGATAGTTTATCTTCTCAAATTTTCCTCCACTCCACTGCCATTCCCCACCTGAATTACTATTAGTATGTCTACCATAAAACTTCCCATATATGCTATCTCTGTAGACATAAACTATGGGAACAATCCCATCCTGAATGTGTTCATCAAATGCTTAATGTGTTTGATACATACGATGGTATGTATGCTTGCAGTCTCTGACGTTTTCAAGATGCAACTGCATAAAGCCCTGAACAACCTCATCTAATCTCACAGCTGATCCTGCTTTGAGCTAATGCCCCTCAGGTCCTCTCCACTCTGAATTATTCTATTATTCTAATCATAATTTGAGGTATTATGTAATTTTTGTTCCTTTCTGGTTCAAATGATTTTACTCCATAAAGAGTAACTCCAGAGGTATACTCCTTACATGGCTATCCTAAAAAAAGAACCAGTTACATTTCTATGTAGCAATGAATTCTGGTAGCCACCATACTACCAGCAATGCAGTACTGAGTACAGTGGGGACATGCAAGAGCAAAGTAAACCATGAAGAAGATTTTGAGTTGAATTCGCTTGATGGACAAGGAAATGGGGAGCAGGGTAAAGGGCATATAGTATTTCTGAAATTATGAAAAAAAAAGAAAAGACAGACAACTTGTTACTGTATGTTGATAAATCACTACTTAAGTTCCAGGTTCTATTAAACATGTAAAGGTTAAAAATGAATTTTTTACCTCACTTTCAAGAAAGAAAAGAACCAACATTCTAATAAGGTTTCCATTTGGACTATTTCGCCCCCTCCTCTTTGCTAGAGCCTCTTCAGCTTGGGGATCATGTCTGCTGAACAGTCTAAAAATAAGCAAAAGGAGCTATCATGTTTATCAAAACAAATCTCATTTCTGCAATAATACGATGAGCATTCATTCTTGATATGGTAGATTTGTTCATAAAACATAGTGAAAGTATCTCAAGCTATTTCTTTCAAGGGAACGAGGGCATGAACCTCTTTGAATTTTTTTAAAGAGGGCATGACCTCTGCCTGTTTGAAGAGATGAATTTATCTTCAGAGTCTTCAAGTTCACAGGGCTGGAAGAATTTCACACAGGAAAAAGCTCTCCAAAACATATTTATATTGAAAAATTTTGCACAGTTTTATATATTTGCATAATTTGTATAGTTTTGCATTTTTAACTTATCAAGTCTTACAATGGTGGTAGTACTTATTCCACTAGTGCCTTAAAAACTAAGGTTGTATCTTCACTGTGGTCACACTGACTGGGATATGGTATAAACAAACTTGACATCCCATTAAACAACCAATCTCAGGTACCAGTAGCAGCATAAAGGATAAAGCAAGCTACCAGTCCATTTTTTTTCAGGTAAATTATACATTCTGCATTGAGTTCCCTGATGCATGGCTAATTCCAAACTACTTTCAACACTCACATTTGCTAGCTTAAAGAGATCTCAGATATGTCTAACATTACAGCTACAGCAATGATTGTTTTACTTCAAGAAGTTTGAAAACTGTTCCTTGCTTTTACAGTGAAACCACAGTCACAAAGCAAATTAGAAATGTGAAACACAGTATTCCGATTTCACTACTATAATTCATTGAAAAGAGAAGGATGAGTTACACACAAACGTATTTTAAAGACATCACCTTCCCCCCCACCTATGCTAACAGATAAGAAACAAGCACCTCTGCAGGTGCTGAAATACCTTAAAATATCCACCTCAGGGTTGAGTCAGTGATCCTCTCTATTATTTGCTTTCTTTTGCTAACTACAGAGAGAAAGTCTCATGACTAGCTTACACATAGAAAGTGATATCTAAATGTATAAAGTGATATTTAAATGTATAAAATTAGTCAAGATAAATCCCACCTCAAATGCCTCAAGCAGATTCTAACTTATTTAAAATGGAGCACCAGCTCTAATGTGTTAGCAGATACCAAGAGAAAATGAGTGTTAGGAATGGGACAATCTTCTCTCAATGCTGTTTACCTTGGGAGACATTTATAGAACACAGTATAGAATCCTGTTGTAAAGAAAAGTTCGGATAAAGTTTTGTCTTTACACTAAGTACGCTAAAGTGTAGATATGTCTTCAAATTCATTTACCTTTGAGGCATTTTTAAAAATTGTCACATACTGATTAACACAGGAATTTCAGTATTTATATTTAAAAAGAACCTAACCATCTCCTAAAACATCATGTAGGAATCTACATGTAACTGAATTTTGTAAATTAACTCCTTGAAACAGATAATGCCTGATCACAGAGATGGAACTCCAGTAATTCACCAACAAAAGCTTACAATTTCAGTGTAGATTTTTAAATCACTAATAAACCACAGAAAATTAGAACACTGGCAAACGAAAACTCATATTTTTATGCTATTTTCTTCTGTTGTGTATCTTGGCATGAAAAATTATATAACCTGCATTCTGATATATTAAAGAACTCTAATGTCACAACCCATGAAGGGAAAAAAGAAAATTAAAGCTAAGAGACTTTTAACTGCAAACACTAAAGTGAAAAGGTTAACTACTATGATGTGGCAATGTCCTGGTCATGGTTACTGATGCAGTATGATTCACATCCATGGAAAAGCTAGCTCATTTCCTTTGGCATAGTGGGTACATGAAAGATGTAACCATGGTGTAATGTATTTTTAGGGGAAGTCAGTGAGTTTAGAAACAAATTTCTTAATTATTACTACATCAACACCTCTCAAGTTCACAATTTTGAAATAAACTGGTTTAAAACTTTGTAAAAATAATGACTGCATACCAGATAGACCATCAGGGATGTATAGGCCTTATATATACTATCAAAGGATTTAAAACAACTTTAATATGGAGGTTTATGTAGCCTTTTATATTTAGGCCTTGAGGAGTCAGGAAAAGTTTTCTGAATTCTAGAGTAAGGAAAATGTAATTCCAGTTTCTTCAAGTCTTTAGGTCTTGAATTTAAACAAGAGAATAAGTCTGTGTTTTAAATTAAATATCTGATTTGCTAAATTGGGATATTTCACTCTATTGCTTCTTTGCCTTTTGATCTTAACTCTACTAGGAAATATTCACAAATCTGGTCTTATTCCAGGGTACCTGATAACTTACTTTTTGTGAAGGAATTCTCCAGCTGCTACTGCAACAGGCCGATGTGCTGAATACACCAAGTGATAAACATTCTCACAGTCTTCATTCGACAGAGCTTCTTCACTTCCACTGCAAAAGTCAGAAAGTAACACCTGAACTAAAACAAATGTTTAATTTCAATCCCTTCACCTCCCTTAACTTATTTTTGACAGCTACAAGACTGATTTCCTTCATACAAAATCCTAAATTGCTGAACACTGACTTCAAGGATCTTTGGTTCAATTTCCAAATAGAGAGATATTTAAAGGGCCTGTAAGACTGAGAGTTTGATTTCCTTCTCCAAGTTGTATCAATATATATATATTAAAAATGATATAATGAAAAAAATGTCACTACTACTTACAAATCTTGCCTTGCTTAATTATTTAGACCATCCACTAACTACAATGCACCTATTGCAAGATGCCAAACAATCATTATCAAACATTATTAAATTAAAACCCTAGAATGTTACATAAGGAAAATGTAATTGCTTTCTTAAACTTATTTACTTCTATAGCAATGTCTGTTTGCTTTCAAAGCTTTTAATTTTTAAACTATTCAAATCTTGGACTGGGAAAACCTGCTTCAGCCTTCTGGCCTACTCCATTGGCAGGAGTTAAGTCCTTTCATGTGACAGTCCACATGCTCTTGTGTGCTGCCTGCGGGGCAGGAGGTGCCTCTCTGCTGGCCTGGAAAGTAGGAAGGAATACTCCCAGTTCCAGCTGCTGAAAGGGCCAGGCCAGGTGGATAAAACTGCCACAGCAATGGGAGAAGGCACAGAAATGCTCTGGACATGGGAAGCAGAAAACTAAACCAGATTACGTCATGAAGTGGAGACACAGAACTAGCACTGTGCATCCACCAATCAAATCAACACATAATCACTTTAGGATTGAACCATGGTGTGCATTTAGAAGTACAATAATGCTGATACAATAAATTGTCCATCACTTTTACTGTAGTTGTTGTGCTGACTAGATATAGACTTCATTTTCAACATCAAGCAACTGAATCCAATCATACCCTGCTGTGCTGGATGAAAGATGATGAAAAGTTTATTTTCTGTAATTATTTATTGACAAGAACAACCCACCTTTTACCCTTGTCTTGGGTAAACAACACAGTTGGGGTTTCTACAGCTTCTGAGCTCAAGGTAGATTTTTTTGTGTGAGTTTTCTGAAACTCAGAAAAACTTCCATTTTTCAGCAGTATTCTTGAAAAATGCTATGAGCCATGGAACAATTATATTCCATCAATGATATCACCACTGTTGCATACAGGAATATTATTTCCCTCATTGTTTAGTCAGCATTCATCAGAAACATTAATGTATCAGGACTCTATATGTCATTTGGCTTCATACTACAAATAATTTTTAATTAGTCATTCCCCATCGTGATTTTTCATGACATCTTTTTGGAGTTCCTAACTGCCAGAACATTGCCCTGTGCTGTTCAACGTGACCCATATTCTGGTGCTAAATGCATTTAGCTGTTTTCCTCATGCAATCAAAGAGAAAACAGGACAGGAAAAAAAGGTGCACCGGACAATTTTTGACCTAAAATCTTACTGTGTTCCCAAACATTGCTAATAATGTAGGGAATAGATATGTTCTCATTTCATTTGTCATCATATTTGTTATATTTGCTTTAAAAATGTAACAGTATGAGATTTCCTTTCTTCCCAATATTACAAGTCTAGTATCTGTAAAGCAGAGTAACTCATAAATAAAAAAATGAAGTCCAGACTTCTTCACTAAGAGGAAAAGCTTGTCTAATCTTTCATCCAAATTCTGCATGTCCAAAAATGTTCTTCAAAGTGGAGCCACTGGGAAGAAAAGTATTATGCAGAAATTCTATGCATCTGTTTGTAAAACAGATTTTCTTTAACATGTTTTAATGAATATATAATAAAAGCTTAGCAGTTCTCCTCCAGCAGCACACTCATGAGGCTGCTGTGGACAGGTTGGTTCAAACAGTCAACGTGTGGGATGATCTTTGGACTGGATCTTTGCCTCAGGGAAGCCACTGCACCCCTGTAGGAAAAAGCTGGGGGCCTGGAAGCATGTCTCCTCCTGCATGGCCAAGTGTTTAAAATTACAAGCTACCACTGCCACCTCCACATAACCCAAACAAGGGTGTTGAAGGTTGTTGACAACTTGACATCAAGGTTGTTGACATCTTTTCCATGTCACCAGATGACTCTCTTTTCAGCTGTGTCAGGTAATCAAACCTCCTAACACTGGATCTTTGCTTAGTTACTGCTAGAATTATTTTAGCAAATGTAACCCACAGATACTTGTTTTGGGGAGGACAATCATTTTGCCCTTGGCAAAAGGTATAAATGCCCTTTGGCATTCTTCTACAACAATGGATGTACTAATAGTCTCAATACATCAATACATTTTTATAATTCGCCTATTGTATTTCCATGAGATGGAATATCTTATTTTAGCTTCATGACCATATTATTACATATTCGGTTCAACTTCACACTAAGTGTAAAATAACAGATCACATGTGCAAAGAAATGAAGTCAATTAAATTTACTGGCTTTCAAAGGGAATATACAGGTTTTGAAAAATACTCACTGAAGTATTAGCGTGACTAATCGAATGGCTTCCACAGCTACATCATATTCCTTATCAAGTGTCATTGATACAATGCGATCCTGAAAAGGAATTTTATTATAGTGACAAAACAGAAACACACAAACAGCTATCAGAGGAAGAATTCTGTAGATTACAAAATAAATTGGAGAGAGAGATCTTTCAACTAGACACATGAAAGCCCTTTAGTATTATTCAGCCATTTAATGTACATCTTAAGAAGCTGTGTGTTACATGCACAATGGAACAATAGGCAAGTACACAGGAATGAGAACAAGTGCTTAACAAGCAGTCCTTATCCTTGTGTGTTTTCCAGAAAACAAGCAAGCAGACTTTAGAGTTGAAGCACTGTTCTGGTCTGGTCTTATTTAACAGTTCTCTCCTGAAAAGGAATGTACTTGGGTTGGATGACCGTGAAAAATTGCCCCGCTTCATCCCTCTGAAAAGAAATAATTTTAGAGCAACGAATGCTGCATATATGCATATTTGAAAATACTGCGAAGAAAATCACGCCTGAATATATGCACCGGCATATTGCCTACAAAGCTGTGGCCTTTATACCTGGCTACATCTTAAGGTTTGAAGCTGATCTCAAGAATTACACTACTCCCACAGGGAAGTGGGAAATTCCATGGTTTGAGTTTGTATTTTCCTATATTCTTTCTAGTGGAGACAAGCACACCACTTTCCAGTCAAATCTAATGATTTTATAACTTCTAAGGACCCTGTAGTTATGAAAAGTCTCCTAAGGGTTTCTTTCTCCTTAGTTTCAGTTTGCTTACTGGCAACCAAAAATAGATGTGATTAGTGTGTGTTGTTCCTATCTGGGGAGCATTTCTATCCATCCATAAAAATGCAATGTCTTCATGTTCTTTGCTTGACTGATCAAGTTAATGAAAAGAAATTGGGCCATCTGAAAATAAAACTTGATTTCTGTGGCTTGACCTGCTTCAAGATGGACTAGGTACTACATGACATTTTGGAATGTGAAAAAATAGAAGTCAGGTACTGGAAAAGAAACAAGGGAAGTGTTAGAAAACAACAGTGAAAGTCACCAAGAACAAATCAGGACAAAATAAAGGTGTTCACCTCTTTTCTCTACTATGCCAGGCATTTAAAGGCTGAAAGTGAATATCAAGCAATTGATGCGTATTTCAATATTGAAATTTAGGAGTACTATGTAAAGAATGCATTGTGGCTGTCTCAAGTGTTACCTCTCAACAAAACCAGGTCTGTAGAGATACTTTGTGCCACTATGACTGAATGCACCTCTATCAATTAGCATTCAGTTCCTGGGAAATTTGATGCATTTAACTGTTATATGCAGACAGTTTTAGAGACTGAGAGAAGTCCATGAAGAGATTCAAACACCGAAATAACTTTCCAAACAGGAAATTCTGTGTATGAACAAGACAAAAAAATTGCTGTCAATTTTTCCTAAGGTCCTGGCGAAGGAATAACAACTAATAACAACAACATAAAGAGAAAGAACAGCCAGAGATATTGATCTTAAAGTTTCAGTGGAATTTCATCTACTCCCTCAAAGTGTATCTTAAACTGCAGGATACCACAGGGAGGGAACTAACTGCACACGAAGGAGTAAGCACACAAGTATAAAACTCCTTCTGCATCTCTGAAAAAAGCCTGTAAGAGATCTTCTCTCCTGCCTACAGAGCAAGAGGTACTCTCTGAATTTGGAGTCCTTTTGGGCTTTGAAACTGATGCAACAATGTTTTCTTATCCAAAAAGACTGTTCTCTCCTCTCAATTTTTCCCAGAAACATCACACTTAAAATAAACAGTGTGAATGTGTCATTTCTTATTTTCTGCCTTGGTGCCAGCATCTCTGTGTGATGGCACCTGCCAGCCAGCCACCAAGATCCTTGAAAACGACACCTGAACACCTAATGCCTCTGGAAGGTGTAACTTCTGTGGTCTACTAAGTTACAAACCCCAGCTGCTCAATCTGCTTTGACAGAAATTTCCTGTACCACTGTACAGCAGTAGAATAGAACACAAGCCTGTATTTATAACTTGAAATATGAATTTTCACTGTCTATGAAGATCAGTTTGCAATTATGTATTAGGCTGTGCATAAGGCTGGCTGAAGAGCAAATCTATCTCCTTTTGCGTCTCAGGCTGTGGAGACAGCACTCTCCTGCAAAGGGTCAGGGATTAGGGACAAGAATTAAACGGCTGCATCTAAATCTGCTGGTGTCTTGACTTTGGCACTGACTGCAAAAGAGCTAATTCACATCTTTCCCATATGGTTTCAGTTAAAGTTTGTATCAGACAGGACTTCTTGATGGAAAACAGAAGTCTCCGCTTTGATGGACAAGATTTTTTTTGACAGACAAAGCTTATTTTCTAGCATATCACCTACTCCTTGAAACACAAACAAATGCTGGGAAGAACACACATCTTTCCTTTGGAGAAGTGACATTATCAGATCCTTGTCACAGCTATCTGGAAGGTGGTGAAATATTAACACCCCAGTACAAGTCATTCTGGATCAAATTAATTTATACTTTAAACAGCTACAAGATCTCTGGAGAGATCTCTCCTGACAGTTTGAATGGATTGAGTTGAGTACCAGCTGAACTGTGCAGGTCGATTAAAGTCTGATGAGGAAATATAAATAAGCAGACATGGAACTGAGAATGGCGTTTAGGTCAATTATTTTTCAGGGGGTGGTGATAGAGTTTGTAGTGGCAAGACATTTAAGTAATGTATCACAGAATCAAAAAGCATTAATTTGAAACTTTACACCATCTGGTGCCAAAGGCCACATCCCTGTCAGCAGAGCTGTAAATCCAAGTGCAGGCATTTAGGCAATGCCAGCTTTTTGTTCTCTTGATGTGGCTGGAAACTGAAACTGATAAATCATCATGTTAAACATATCTGTTCTCTAGGCTCACACAGACTTTGAACTCACCTTTTTTCTAATTTATTTCATAATGATATAGATTTCTGTATTAAAAACAGCTTTAATGGAACAGAAGAAAGACAAGGATTCCTAGCAGGGTTTCCCTTTCCTCTGAATCTTTTTGACAGAAATGAAAATTCCTTGTGCCGTTCTAAACCAAGAAGCAATGCACAGGTTAACCTGACTTCTTCTAACACAGAAAATGGTCTATACTGTGAAAAAGTAGGAAGTATTTAGGGGTTTCATGTTCCTGTAGTTTTTTGAAGTACATTACTGAGTAACTATTTCTCAAAGTGCCTCCAATCATTGTGAAAAGTTTTGCTGGTGGATGGGACGGGTTCAGACTCAAAGCAGCATTTTCTCTTACGAATTGGAGGAGGTTAAGAGAGAAACATCCAGCACATTTTCTAGTAGAGAGAAGTAGATATAGAGACCACGAGAGTTTTAGTGGCCTATTTAAAAATAAATCAAATTACAAATATAAACAAATCTGTAAGTCTGCCCAGATGGAACAAGAAAAGCAGCAGAGTTGAAGGATTCATTTTTCTGGAGAGTTAACTAGTATTTCTGGTTGTCCTGAGATGATAAGCAAACCAGACTTATGGAGGCATTATAGAAGTAGTCTGAGGTCTGAAACTGTTTGCCAGGTACTCTTCTATGAGAGAAAAGTTTGTCTTTACTGCAATAACCCCAGAAACTGACTTTATAAAATTAGAAAAATATAGGCCCTGAAGTGATCTCACAAAATGATCTAGTTTCATCTCCTACTTTAAAGTCAACTATACATAGTTCATTCCCGACATATTTATTTAATCTGCCCCTAAAAATCTCAAATGAAGGAGATTATTAATAAAGAGTCTGTTCTCTTGTACAACTATAATTTTGGACAAAAAGCCTTCCTTAATATCTAGACTTTACTGTAGTTTAAGCATCTTTTTTCTCCATCTCAAGTGAATGTGGTATGATTACCATTATGTTTTTACAGATCATTTACATACATACAGGTAAGATATAACAAGTTTTCTATATTTTTTGCTTTCCTAGATCAAACTAAAGGAGTTAATAGTAACTGCAATGACACACAAAACCAGTGAAGCCGTATAAAATCTACAGTGAGAAGTTTTTAAGTCTCATACACAGTAGTTATTTACAAATATTTAAATCTCCACTTCTTTTCCAAACAGAATTTTTCATCAGCATTATAATAATGATTTAAATGAAAATACAGTAAATTAGCCTTTCCTTGGGGGGGTAGCCTTTACCACAGTTCTGTGTTCCCCAGAACACAAAAGCAATGGTAAAAGGTGCCAACCAATGCAGTGACAGTATCTGAAAGCTTTCTTCACAGAGCATCCAAACAGAAGCCAGGACAGTACTTCTACACTCATCTCTCCAGATATTTCACTCGTGAAATAAAGCAGTCATGCCACAGAGCGAATTAACAGGCACATTCTCATCAAGATATTAAGCAAAAAGTCAGTGTGTTTGTGCTAGTAAAAAAAACCCTGAAATATTCCTCCAGTACTTATCTCCTAAACAGGACAATCATGCTCAGGGGTTTGTCTAAAAGCACAATGTAAACTCCTGTTCTGCAGCAAGGTATTTCACTGTGTAGAATATTGTGATGCAGATCAAAGTATCCCTTCCTCCAAACACAAGCACATATTCAGCTAAAAAGCTGTCTTATGAACAATCTTTTGTTACAGGCTGTTACTTTCAGATGTATTTTAGATTGTGTGAAACAGCGAGTACACGTCCTTAAAATTCAATAAATCTAAAATTAAGTAAGTACAAGCAGATTGAATAATGACAATGTATAAACTATCAATAATACAAACAGATAAATAATCATCCTGGCCAAACCCAACAAATTTTACAAGATAAATACTAAAATGAATTTGGCTTAATCTCAGCATTCAGTAATACAGTTTTACTACTGCAGTTACAAGCTTTGTCACAAACGAGTTTATTTTTGCATTTAATATACATGATTCAAAGACCGCAACAGGATGAGATAGATGATACTTTTCTTTTCTGTACTCTTTCCAAAAACTGTATTTCCTCTTACCTTGAATCTATTAGTGAACAGCTCCAGTTTTGGAAATAACTCTCTGTTGGTATACAGACTCTGGAGAGCTTTCAAACACTTCAACCTCACTTCACCTTGCTAAATAAAACACACTAAGATTAGCTGATAGAATACCCTAATCAAATGCACATGAATATTAAATAATCATACTGTAATTTGTTTAAGGTACATTTAAATTTTTATGCAAATGAGTTACCAAAGCCAATTTGCAATTCAGCTAAAAACCAAAAACCACATGCAGCTGCCTACAAACAATGCTAAATTTTCTCCCTATTTGCATGTATAAAGAATTCAATGCGCCATCAGTTAAACGTCTTTTACTCTTCCCTTTCAAGTAACTCCACAAAAAGATAAAGAATGTAGCAAGTAAATACAAAATAAAGACATATGATCTCAAGGTGGTTGGTGAAACGACAGTGCAGCTATTTATCTTTAGGAAAGAGACTACAGGTAGCTTCTGCCTGATATCTGGTGTTTAAAGTGATTGAGCATGGGCTGCCTGTAGCCCACACAAGCAACTCAGCCATCTCCGAGCACTGTCTTTCCTTTTCCCAGGGACAGAAGGAATACACACTGGACTTATTATTCTGAAATTTTCTACAGCCCATCTCTCATCATAGGACAGGCACAGGCTGAAGGATGCAAAAGGCCTGAGAGACCCTCCAGTGTGGAGCAGGCTGCTGCCACAAGAACAATGCATCTGCGCCACAGCCTGAGGAGCCCTTGGGAAGAAGAGCAGCTTGTGTCCGTCTGTCTGAGTTGTTCTGGTGGCAGCAGCTCATTCTCAGCTGCTCTTTAGATGGGGATCGCTTTGATCTGGTGAGCTGTAGGCAGGAAGCGTGGGTGTCACAAGACAAGTGCCTATGGATCAAGGTTTGTCGCCTACAGGAACACTGATGATAAAGAGAAGGGCTGGATCCCCTGGGCACATGCACATCATCTGGCTGGCTGCAGATGTACAACTCAGCTCAACTGCACAGTCTAGGCAAACTATGGTTTCTTGTTGAAAAATATCTGTAGATAGCAAAAAGGTTATACACACAAATCTGCTCAAATATAATCTGTAGAGTTCACTGCAGTGTGAATGAACTTTTATGAAAGCGAGTACACTACCAAGTCTAAGGCTTTAAGCTGCTCAAGAACTAATACAAATTATTGAACTTCATAAATAAAACTCCATACCCAGAGGGTTTCATATCTGAGCCTGTCTATTCTATAAGGAAGTCTGTATTTAAAAATCTGCTCAAGCTAAAAACTGAAAGAACATTCAGAGATTGACATAAAAACAGAAGCTAAAAATCCTTATTTTTAAGTTTCTTTCCTCCTTCCCACCTATTTCAAAAATTGAAATAGAAGATAAAAGAAGGACAGAAGGTGAAAGGAGGATCTTCAGAAGAACTTTTCCTTGAAGAACTACTGTTCCTGAGAAATCACCTCTTTCTATCTGTGAGGAGTCTCTGAGCAGTCCTGCTGTCTTCTAGGGATCTTATTGACTACCGTTGCAGAGGAAGTCAGTGAGATGAAAGTTATGTTTAAAGGATCTATCATAAGATCTTTCAAGGTACAGAAAAGAACTTTCTTGAAGAAAAATTTTATATGGATATGATCAACTGCTAAATAAGCACAGAGAAATGCTGCTTGTCATTCTTCTTTTAATGGTACCTACTTTGCAGTACCAGAAATGGTGTTTCCTCTGCTGTGTGGCATTCAGAAAGCCCAGGATCTCTGGGCTAATCATTAGAAGAGGATGTAAGCCTCTTAAGGCCTTAGGTTATTTAGCCACGGAGGATCAGTATCAATTTTGGCATGTGAGGAACGCTACGGAGCAACAGTGTGGTAGCAGATTTAGTTACAGCTCCACTGAAGACTATTCCACTGGTCAGCAGATGGCTTGTTATTCAGCCAGTGCTGTAGTCCCAAAATGCAAAACTCTAAATTGGTTAGGTACAGAAAAAAAGTATCAGTGCCAACAGCAACGAGACCTGAGACCTGTGCAGATAAGGTTTGGATTCCCCGTGGAGTCCAAAGCCCTTGTGGACTTCACTGAACACCGTGGATCACTGGTCCCAGAGCCTGATACTGAGGGTCTCTATAAGTCTTAAGTGAGCAAATCAAGCAAGGCAGATAGGAAGCAAACCTGTGAACATTTGGTACTTGCATGGCCTGCCAGGAGACTGCAGCCAGATGCTAACAAAAGTGTACAGAACCAGGCTAACATCCTCCTGCCACTCACCAGATCTGAGGCAGAAGACAAGCGACTGCAGGAGTAGGTGAGAAAGAGAAATGTTGTGTTACACCTGGTCCCCCTCTAGCTGAGAGCAAAGGCCCAGGAGACACAGAGGCAATCCCTGGAAATGACTGCCTTTCTTGGCAGACAAATGATAGGAGGAGGACTTTCTCTGATAGCAAAAAGGTCTGGTTTTTAAACTGCTGGTCAAGGATGGAATTCATCTCTTTGGAGAGGGAAGAGCCCCTGCACATCAGCTTGCTAATCCTATTAAGAAGGTTTTAAAATAGAGTCAGCGGAGATTAGTGCCCATGGGGAAGCATTAACAGCAATGACCTGGACAAGAACCTAAGAAAGGCAAAAGTGAAGGTGTACAGGGATACACTGCACTGAAGTACAGAATGGAGAAGTAGAAATGTCCCACAGACCATCAACATGCCAGACACAAGATGTTTCTTGAGTAACTATGAGAATCATCCAAGTAACTTGAGCTTTTAACACCCCAAACACTTTTTGGGGAAAGACACACAGCAGAAATTTCCTATTTAACAAGTAAGTAAGTGGGTGGGAATGCTAAAGTTAGGGTAAATCCTAAGAAACTTATGCCAGGGTAAAAGCTGCAAACACAGTGATGCAGAGCAAGGACAGGGAGAGACTTACTTAACTGAGAGATGAACTTATTTAACAAATTAATTAGGAGGTCAAGCACAAGAGGAATACAAAAAACAGAAGGAAGATAAAATAAAAAAGGCCTGGGCACAGTATGGAATGGACACAAGAGGTAATGAAGAAAACTTTCTGTAAATATCTTTGCAGCACAACAAAGAAAAGTTATCTTGCTCTGAAGGAAGAGGAAAAAAGTAATTGTCACTTTTTATGTGCACAGTGGGTAGGAAAAGAATAAATTAAAATTATAACACAGGCTATTTAACTTATGCGAGGAAGAACTTTTTAGGGGCAAACATAGTTAAGCACTCAAACTGTTACAGAAAGCTGTGGAAAAACCAACACTAGAGGTTTTTTTAGAAAATATGACTGTCTGTGAGAAACACTGCAGATATACAGTGAACTCTGCCTTAAGCCAGAAGAGAATAAGCAAAAATATTTCCCAGACTATATTTTAGCCAGATTTTCTGCAATTCTGAGCTGAAGTGCATAGTGAGTATGAGACAACCTAAGGCAGCATATATTTGCAACCCCACAATACCTTTAATTCTGTTAAAGAAAACAAGCATCACGTTCCAGATATTTTTGTGTAGTCACATCTGTGCTTTACAAACAGAAACAATGTATCTGAAAGGAAAGCCTTGTCATTTTCTACGTAAATAACCGACAAAATATTTGCATTATCAGCATTCTAACAACTAAGACCTTCCATTCTCCTGAGTTTCACCTTCCAGAAAAATATACTTACTTATGGTTTTGTCCAATTTGTAATTGTGACACTTGATTATTGCAGAATCCTGAATTCATCCACACTGTCATTGGTTCTATGCACACCTCTTTCTCCAGTCTATTCCTGTAATCTCCCTTCTCTCAAAGCCTTTTTAGATAATTATTTATATATTTTTGTTATTTTTGTTATATAAAAATCTTTTTCATGAATATGAGAAATGCTTCACACTAATACTTAATTGTTAATGCTTTCTTTTATTTACAATTTGAAATTAGAATCTAAAACAAAAACATTAAATGTTTATCAACACTGTTAAATGACAAACATTTCTCATATTTTCCCTATTTTTGTAGAGATAATCCTCCAGACACTTCTGAGTTTTGAGCAAAAAATTGTTACCGCTGCTAATGAAGGAAAAAGCAATACATACACCTTTCATGTCAGCAGTGTGCGGTAGTCTACATTTGTCTGGGAGTCATGCTCTACTCAAAATTCTCTTTAATATGGCAGACCTGTGAAAAAGAATCCATCCTGATGGAAGCACACCATTTTCATATTTTTTACATGCTAATCACAGGACTTGAACCAACAATCTGTAACTCTTGTGTAAGTCTCTCAGTGATCTATAGCCTGGTATCGAGCCAGCTTAGATTCTTATTAATGTTCCATGTAGTTGATACGTTTGAGTATTAGTTTGCCATGTCCCAGTGAGAACCAGACTTCTCTTAACATTCAGGGATACCACAGCTCCAGGAATGGTAATAAAAGGTGCATTGCTATGTGTCCGCTCACATGCCAGATGAAGGCTTAGATCACACAGAGATGATGACTTTTTGAGCCCCCAGAAACACAGTTCCCATTATTTTTTAAGTAGGTGGGTAGTCAAGAGAGCCACAAAGCCATTTCTCTCTCTTCACACTTCATGTTTCTTCTTTTGGATTTTTCCAATTCTCTTCTGGTGGCTAAGGGTATTCTGCTCTTTTTAAAAATTTATCAGATTTTAATAATAATCCCACAGTTTATGGGATGACCGTGATATACTGTGTTGCATTTTGATGCTCTAGGGTGATATATTTTGAGGTAATCTGCTGCTGAATGACAGAAATAGTTACACTGCCAGAGAGAAACAGATGAAAATGTCCTGCAGCACATTAAGTACCTATGGCAGGAGTATTCCTGGCAGGAGCAAGCAGTTGTGCTCTGTCTGCATAGGCCCACTCAATACCATTTATGAAGATACTGTGTATCATCTGATGCATTTTTTTATTTTCTCAAGCTTTCCCAAAACCAAGGAAATTAGGTACCAAGGACATTATATAAAGTTAAACATTCAGAAGTTTGGAAAAACTACAATTTCAGTTTCTATATAATCTTAATAAAAATAAGTTCTATTTTTTCATCTTTTTAAGTTAGGATGCCATCACGATGAAGTATTCAAATACTATCTGTTCTACAGGACCCTGGGTTCATTCCTTTCACAGAAAGTAGAGGCATGCAAAGAAGGAAAAGGCATTTTCTTACATGTTAGGAAGTGGTTTAAGAACCATGACTGTCTAGGTATCTAGAGACACAATTACGGTTTCAAAACACTTCCATGCATCAATGAGGCAGGTGAAAATTAAGACTAGATAGTCTGAGTTAAGACTTACTTTTTTTTTTAAAGAAGTTTTTTAATGCAATTATATTATAGTTTTATGTATTTTTAATTTATGCTCCCAGATCCATGGGAATGAAAAAGAGGCTTAAAAAGGAGAGAAAGGCAGAACTAGAAACCCATATTCAAATGAGAAAGTAATATACAAAAACCAAAAAGCCCTATAGACGTTCAGCTGAAATCTGGGAAAGAGACAGGTTTATCATACAAAACATACAGATTTTCCACATTAGAGATCTAAACTTCTGTATCCTACCTCTGAAAGACTACACTGGAGCTACTACAAAGAACTGTAAGAATTGTGTCTTCCCTGGGATTTAATTTGTATGTCTTCTGACGTAGAATATGAAACTGCTCATTAATCTCTTGCACTGCTGCCTCCTCTCTTTTTTGTAGTAGCAAGCTTCCAGAGAAGTTAATCATTTTCGGGTGACTTCTGTTCATATGAAATGGAAATACCTTATGACTATTGCCTCAGCTTTCATTTTTTCAGTATTTTAAGTACTGATCATAGCAAAAATGATCTCCTGATCAAAGCAAAGCAAAATCAAGAAACTTAGGTAACAGCAGGCAAGTTTTTCAGGTAGTGCCAATGAAAACCATGCTGTTAAGGGATCTTGTACTTTTGAAGGGTTTGCATTTTTAATTGGTTCTTATTCCATCTTTTTTCAATGTATTCTTTCCATTGCACTTCCTTCCTCCTTTCTATGCCTCCCCAAATGTGTCTTTTTCTCCATTCTCTCCCTTTTCATCCTTTCACACATGGCTCACCTGCCTCTGACTCTTCCCCTATCCTACTTACAATCTGTCTCACTCTATACTTTAAACATACACTACATCAATAAAAAATATCACATATCTTGCATATCAGGATATTAAACAGATTAGCTAGTGATTTAAAGACTGAGAACCCCAAGGCACTTCTGAGGCCTGCAACGATAAATATTACAAAGCAAGCAGAGGCAGGAGAGTAGCCTGACAGAATTCTTCTGTGTCTAGTCCAGAATGGAAAACCTTTTTTTTTACCATAACACTGTAATTTAAAATTTGTCTGATATGAAAGAACGTATTAATTTTTAAAAAGCCGAGGTAAAAATATACGTTAAGGCTGCAGGCAGATGACTAGACCCTGGCCTGAGGTTAAGCTAACTGAAGAAGATGTGAGAAACTATTGGACATAACCTGAGAAATTGCTGGATGTGACAGATAACAGTGTGAGAAGCTGACACCAGTCACAGACAGTGCTGTGAGGAATGGCTGGACTTCACAGATACTAGAAGGGGACTGAGAGCTACGACGTGCAACGCTACTAGATTCTGCTCTCCCATTGGAAGTGCTACTTTCTGGAAATGTTCTGCTAGGATGCGAATGTGCTTCAAAAAAATCACTGCAATTATTCAAGGGAAAATTTATTTTTAATTAAAAGCCCTAGTAAAATAAAGCCTTCCACCACACTTAAAATCCTAATCCTCCAACCTGAGTTGACCTCCCCACTGATCTGATAACTTGAAGCAATGATCTCCACCTCCTGAAGCACGCCTATTAGTGAGGCACACCAATGTTAAAAATGAGGTACAGAGATGGAGCAGCAGCTCTGCCCCTCAAAGCAGTGTGATGGCCATGTTTTCATGTCCGAGCTTCAATGATAGGAAGTGTGGTGTTGCTAGAGTAAAAAGTAGACATGGTTGATTGCAGCAGTAAGCAGGATCTTCCTCCTAATCAAGTTTTGTAACAATGACATGTAATGTAAAAGTTTGGGGAAAGTTTGTAAAGTAAAAGTTTGAGAACTATAGGTTTAGAGAGGAAAGACATCACATATCTAGTCTCTAAATCATACAGGATACTCTTAACAAGTAAATTGCTGGTCCAAATCAAGGCGAGATGCAGATCCCTGTCAGCTATAGCCAAAGCAAAAGAACCAGTGGCAGCTAACTTCCCTCCTTAGCGAAAGCTAACATCTTTCTAACTGATCCTGTTCAGATTTCAGCAAAAGAGTGACCGAGTCATATCATCAATGTTGACATGCTGTCCAAAGTTACTGAAGAAATTATCTTTTTAAAAAATCAGCCGTTAACTACCAGTTATGCAAGTCATCAGAATGAACTTGCAAACTTTTAATTTTTTCCAGCAGTGCTTCTAGAAAAAAAGAATAGTCTGAATCAGGATACTGGAATTTAATGAGCATTTCAACAGCATAGGCAGGTCTCACCTGTTTTCCTTGGATAATGTTAGCAAAAGAGTTTAGAGTAAAGGAAGTGTTTCTAGTGGGTTTGGTGAGAGCAGGAGGATGGCTAGTCCCAGTTGCTGCCTGGTGCACAAAACTCCCATATGGTCAGAAGTGCAAAGTCCTGTTCTATTAGTGTTAGAAATTGACTACTCTTGCTGCAGGTCTGTTGCCAGCCAGCAGAGGCATGTTGTGGATACCATCAGTATGAAGAACTGCGGTGAGATAGGAAAGAACCTCTGGATATAAATCTTTTTGCTTTCATCTGGTGTTTCAAAAATTTTTTGAAGAAAGAACTTGAAGAGATTCTTCAAGGGAAAATGAATTGATGAGAACTCCACTGGTTGTGGAGCCAGTGACGTCTGTTGGGGACCCAGAGATGTTCTCTTTTCTCTAACTATTGGGCAATGTAAATGGAAGACATATCTGGAAATCTCTTTTCCATTCTGCTTCAGACACAAAGGTTCTCAGGGGTGATCTGAGAAGATTTCTCTTTCTCTTGTAATCAGAAGAAAAGCACCACGGAAACATTTCTGTTAAGATATTCTAACGGAGACTGAAAACATAAAAAGCACATGAACCAAGCACACAGTCTGGGACTACTGTATCCTAATATAAGTGAATACCTTGAAATAAGCTGGTTGAAAGATAAGTAACAGGCAAGAAAAAAGAACAACCTCTTTAAAATCAAAGATAATACACTAAACATGTCTTGGGTAGTATAACAGCAGCTATCTATAGTACACTCTGCCATGTACAGTAATACACAATACTTACCCTGTCATGTAGTGTCCAACCAACATATTTTAAATAACTATCATTCAGGAAGGCATCACTGTACATTTTCATCCAGACACCAATTTCTTCAATACAGACAGCTCTAATCTCAGCAATAGCATCACTAATAAGGAAAAAAGAAAAGAAAAAGTGTTAATCAGATTATAGATGCATACCATTTACTTCTCATTCCCATTGCCCTAGCTATATTTTGCTTTTACTTTTGATGAACTTGCACTATGCAGGGCCTGTCACTGTTCTCACTGCCGTCTCACTGATTTTCTGTTCCTTTATGTCCTTGAACTCACTGATCTATCTAATAATTTCAATATTTCTACATTCAGATATGATATTTCCATTATCTCAAAAAATTCTCACCCTAGTTCGCTTCTTACGTCTATTACTCCATCTTTTACCTCCCTCTTTTCAAACAGAATTATGAATCGAAGCTACAAACCTCCTCTAGACAATCATTTCTGAAACACCATCACTGACATTTGCTTAGCAGGCTTTACCCTCTCCAGCTAGACATGCAGAACAATTCCAAGGTGCAAAAAGTTATTTGGTTTAACCAAAGGAGCCTGCCAGAGGGGCAGAATGGAATTTGGTACATAAACAGATCTTGTTTCATGCACCGTGTAAAAGCCCCTATAACAAGACCCAGGAGGATGTTTACATTTCAACATTGGTTTCTTCCAGTTTTCTTGCTTTTTTCTACATTCTGACTGTGGTAAGTGATGGAAGAGGCAAAGATGTATCTCAGGCAGACTTATCAGCTGCTTATTGAGGAGGGGCAGCAGGAAAATGTCTGGAGAGACCACCTAAAGAGATCAGGGATGAAAATTATTTCAATCTGATTGGCACTTTCCTGCCTGACTGACATAGAGCATGGCATATTTACTAATAATGAACGACAGCTAAACAATGAGAAAAAGGATTGGGGCCATCTGGCCCTTTAGTAATTTCATCTCTGAGACATCTGTTACTATGAGAAATCGCTTGTGCCACTCCAGCTGGCACTGCTTCACAGTTCAGAATTTCAGCTGTAATAAAACAGGAACATAAAGAGCCTCTGTACAGAAGAAGGGAATATCTGGTGCTTTGCAAACACCGGCCTTGCTTATAATTGAGACTCTGGTTCTGTATTTTTATAAAAAAATCTTTTTGGAAAAGTAATAAACATCAATTCTAAAAGAGCACCAACAGAGCCCACAAATGAAATCTCATTTACGGGGGGAAAAAAATTAAAATTCCAAGCTTCAAGCAACAGAATAATTGCAAAATAAAAGAAACTGTATTTTTCCTCAAGTCTTTAATTTTACAATGTATAAATAAAATGCACTCTATCTTATGCTCAAGATACTTACTGCATAAGTTCATACACACAAAATAGTATAACATGATTACTCCATACTGTAACTGCCTATGTACTTGCAACCTTCAAATTGGTCCACCTCAATAGCTGTCATTCTACTGTATATGATCTTCCAGATACCAAGGTGAAAAACACAGTTCCTACCTGAACACGGCAAGCAATCACAGTATCATACATGACTAGATGTGACACTTCTACAGTCAAGTCTCTGGTTTTCTCATTCAGTTTCAAATTATAGGGACAAAACTGTACTGACTTAACAGCGTAAAACATGCATTTAAGGTTAATGGATGAACGTTAGGGGGAAATTTGTAGGAATGCCATTACACCACTATCACTTTCTCTCTTTGCCTACCTGAAACACACTGATTTTATCAACTTCCAAACAGAATCACTAAAACTGCTCTGTCAAATTCCCTGAAGACTCTATAACCTCAAAACCAAAGTAATTGTCAATCCACAATGTAGACAAGCCACATTACGAGCAGAGTAGGGCATTAAATAAGCTGTTCCTACCAGGGATTTCTCAAACAGGTTTTAGATACTGTAAGGATGAATGTTCTAAAATATTACATTCAAGGGTTTGCACAAGAGTTTGAACTTCATTCATTACGGGGAATGCAGCCACAATGAAGAGAGGGTTTAATTTAAACTATGAATATATTTATATATATGTCTAATTGTATATTACTTCACACTAAGCTAGATTAGCAATTCTCTTTTAAGAAATTATTTTTAAACTACTTTTAAAACAAAATATAGGTGGAAGGAATCAGAATGCAAGACTTAAAAGAACAATCTAAAAGACTGATAAGTATGAATCAAGAAAAAAAAGGGGAGCCACATATGCAGAAACACAAAGTAGCCATGAAGACGTTTCCACTAGGGGACGACAGCCTCAGTCCTCCCATCCAAGTAGGTTATTTCACCACCTTATAAATTTAGTAACTGTGAAGCATTTTGGAAGGATTTAATGGCAATCCCAAAAAGAACCCAAGTGTCAACAGCTATTTAATCATGCAGCACAGCCAGCCAAAAATCACGAAAATTTATCTTTTCTGTAAGAATGCATTCAAGCTTCCCTAGGCAGACAGTGAAAAACTGATTCGATTCAAAAGCTTCTCAGGGATCCCTAGGCACTACGGACAAACACTCACTCCAAGCTGCTATTTATAATTACAAAAAAAAAAAAAAAAAAGAAAAAAGAAAGAATAAAGCTATTCAACTAATTACAAGATTCAGTAGAATAAAAATTTAACATCTTCAGTGTAATTGAAAATGGGCAAGGATCATGCATAAGGCATGTGACACTAGCAAACAGACATAAGTTGCTGGAGAGGCAGGAGAATTTGTGAGACACCAATTTTCCACTCCACCACTATCTTCCAGGTAACTGTATTACCAGTAAGAATCATTCATCTTCTTGCAGGAATCGCTAAAACAGGTTCCATACCCGTACAATGCTGTATCAAACATGATACAGCCAAAAAGTCTTTATACCTTTGCTATGCATGTGATCAAGTGCTTGTTATTAAACTATAATTATTTTCTTATAATTTTTACACACTTAAATATATTTTAGCATCTTGTCATAGTCACTATGAATTGTTTAGTTTTTTAAAAATACACACTATTTGTATATGACACAAGAACATATAAATACTAATCATACCACCATTGGAAGTACTTTTGGAATAATTCATGCATTATTCATTATCGTAATTATAAATTAGTGACTTAAGTTTGTATTACTTGCCAAATGCATCTAGAAAGGAAGAGAATCTAGTCTAGCACAGAAACCAAAACTAATGCTGGATGTAGAAATATTAGACATAAAATATATTTAACCTTCTTTTCAGCACAAACTGCCAAATAATGTCTATATGGCAAATGGGAAGCACTTAGCAAACTATTCGCAGCAAAATTCACAACCTATATTGTTACTCTTAGTAAAGAAGCCTGCCATAATGCAGCTTCGTAAAGAGATTTGATAAAAGGGGATCAGGTAAGAAATTCACTGGTTCCTTTTAAAATTTTGGGTGACAAGGCAGGTCCATAAAACTTAGGACAAACTATAGCAAACAGTGTCAGGAAACAGGTTTTACTAGTTGATTGTTTCTCAAAAGTGCCACTTTAGCATATATTTCGTGCTAAATTACACTCTAGTATTTTGATTAAGGCCAAAAGTATTTAGGACCCTGAAACATAGAGTCTATAATGGATAATTGGGATATGTTAGGTGGAGGCTGGTATGTTCCAGTTGCAGCTCCTGGGTTCTCTCACCCTGATCACAAAGTCATTTGGGTTAATCAAGACCAAAACTGAAAGCAATTTAAGCTAACCGGGCTGATCTGCACTGAAATGGATGCTTAAATCCTTAAAGCATTACCAGTGTTGAGGGAAAACACCCAAGGCAAGAGATGGAGATGACTAGCAGAGCAGTAACTGCTTCAAGACTTCTTGGAAGCTCTGAAAGGATGCCTGACTATGCTCTTATTGTATGTCTGCTTGCCTAATACAACCATTGCAGTTGTTGCTTCTCAACAAATAGTCTTGGTAATTTCTATGTTTTTTCAACATACATAAAAACATAATGCATTTTCTTGCCACCTAAGATGTGTGTTTCACCTCCTTAAGATAACACACTTAGGGTGAGGGAAAAGGATTTTTCTATGGTTTTGTTTGGATTTTCATTTCCCTGTGCTGACTGGTCTTTGCTCCTCTCAGTCTCTTACTCAGTTCCTCACCAGACTTCCATCTAACATCCCCTCTCCCTTTTTTTCATGCAACACTTGTTTCCTAGAATGGAACTTGCAACTTGTCATCATCATCCTATGTATGTACTCAGTAGTAGAGAAAGGAGCGAGAAGCATCTTCTCTGTAAAGATGACATCTACATTTGGCATGTTTTACCTTAATTATCAGTACTGACAAAATAATACCTCAGGACAGGCTCACTGCATTGCATAAATTCACAAAGCCATCATGTCCATCAGTCTGGGGATCACCACTCAGGTCTGCCAGAAGTTTAAACTGTAATAGTTCTGTTTTGCTGGATATTAATGTATGGAGGAGAAGCTCTTTGAGCATTCAAAACAAAAAGACATTATGAAGTAGGACTCAAATAAGAATTTTCTGAATCTTACCCTCTGAAAGGGAAATGAGTCCAGACACACATTGCTAAGTCAAAAGCAGGTAAGTAGCAACAACAAAATTTTGACATGTCAGATCACTGTTGAGTTTGATGGGCATTTTGTAAATACTTGTTACATCTGAGAAGCTATGTGGCAATAATTTCAGAATCAAAGTAATCTCTGATATGCAGATACAACTGAAATGAAGAAACAGGCCTCCCCTCCCTTTTTTTTTTAATATACATGTATCCCGCAAGCAATTTTCAGCTTGTTTAACTTCAGACAAAGCTTTTAAGTTACTTTTAAGATCCCTGACCTACCAGTATACAGTATCTCATTACTACATACCAAAGGCATTAGACTCATACAGACACAAAACCGGTTATTTTGAGATTAGGACCTTTGAACATCACCATATCCACGCCCCTACACATGCCTTGTACAATCAATTTTTGAGTATTTCCAAAGACAGATATTCTACAGCCTCTGTGGACAACCCGTTCCAGAGTTTGATTACTCTCACAGCCCTGCAGTCCTTATTTACCACAGTCACCATCTCCACTGTTTTATACTCACCAACATGATCCCAGCAACTTGACTCTAACTGAAGTTGCTCTTACATCTCGCCTTTGATGTTAACTCTCAGTTTTAGAAATTATAAAAAAGTAATCAATTGACAACCAAATATGTCATAAAACAACACAAAAATCATCAGCAAAAGTGATTCAGGAAAGAGATAAGGAAATATTCAATGAGGTAGGTACATCTCCTGCATATTTATTAAGAATATCTCAATTTTTGACCAAATCTGCTGTTAACACTAGACTAACATTACACCTAGAAAACTGTTTAGCTATTTCTGCAAATTTTTTTTTTTAATGTGAGAAGTAAGCATTGAAATCTTCCAATAAATTGGAAGTCAATCTACAGAAAGAAGACGTGACCTCACTGCAACCCTAGCTTACTAGTAGGAAGACAGATACATTCTGAATGAAACAGTTTTGGAGGGCTTTTTGTTTAGATCAAGGACTTGCTATTTAAGTTACAAAGGTCACTAAGCATGAATCACTGTGGCAGAGTCTGAATCATATTATGGAAAGGGATTTCTTCTCTGGCAATAATTAAAATAATGTTCTTTTGAAATCATTACCACTTGTACATCAGCTAAGGACTGTAAAATGATGTCAAGTTTATAAATCATTCGAACTATTTGAGAGAAGGAATGCTTAAGAAACATTATGGAAGCAGATAATAGTTTGAAATCCTTTTGGTTTTTTCTGCCCTCCCGGACCTGGTTTTCTCTTCCATTAGCTGTTTTTAATACAGGTATTTTTTTCCCCTCTATGTTCTTGCATGGATGTGACTGCAGAAATTTTATGTTCTCTGCTGTCTACAGATTACTCATATTCGGGTATATGTTGTAACAGACTCTCTTAGGAGCTTCACAGAAGTTAAGGAAGCCAGAGAGATGATGACTCCTCACAAAAGTGGCTCTTGGGGCAGACTTGGAAGCAGTTACTTCTTCTGACCCTCTCTAAACAGTGGCAGAAGTGGTGCCACCCACATTGCTCAGAGCACACCACTACTTGACTGATTTCAGCAAATTCTTCGGTGGTGTAACAGTGTTAGCCTGGGCATCTTTTTTCAGGGCACGAATAAGCAGAGTGCATTTATTTGGCCTCTCCTTTGTTACAGCAATATCAGCAAAATCAGGCCTTTACTAACAGTGGCAGAAAGCATGAAAAGAAAGCAGAGTTACAAAAGGAGGATTTAAAAAGAAAGAAAAGAAAAGGAAACAGCATGCAGGCCATCAAAAGGTAGAATATTTTTCCAACCCCACACAAGAGCACGAGCCACTAGGAAAATATTTTAAAGCGACTTCTTGTTTGATACAATACACTAAATTCTGAAGGGGGGGGTGGCGGAAATGGAAAAACTCTTTGCATTTAATTTCTTTAACTTTATTACCTACACACCATAAAAGCTGCTTTCATAACAAAATAGTGAGTGCTACACTGAGCTAATATCCTAATTTACCGGTTGACTCTGTATACCCATCCTTCTGTTGCCATGTAGCTCAAGGCTTACTGAACAATCCCATTTCCTCTCAGACCCCCTCAGATCACCATCCCTCCTTTACAATTTCCTCAAGAGGGAAGAAACAAACGGATAGCAAATGAAGTTGTCTCACAGGTGTGTGGGACAGAATAAGGATACAAGGTCTGAAGAAAAAAGTGTGACATATGCATCCAGGAAAAGAGGTTCTTTTGTGAGCAATCACTATACTCAGATCCCCTGTTTTCTTAAGAGACCCCTTTTTGCTGCTACCTTTGATCTTCTTGGAGAGATGCTCCCAGTACTGCTATAAACTTGCTTTCAAGTATCATCCTTGGGTACTGCAGAGACTTGCTCCAACTCCACTGTGTTGTTCACATTCATGCATTTCTTAGCACAGGTCCCTCTTCTGGGTTTCCTGCACGGTTTTCTCCATAATTACAATAATCCCTCTGCCCACCTGAACTATGGGTTCCTCTTCACTTTCTAACCCTCTTCTCATACACCCTTTCTTGTTTTCTGCCATTTGTCTAAAAGATTTCATAAATGGTAAAGTTTTAAACCAGAACTTAAATCTGAAAGCTTAATTGCATAGTTTAGTATCCTTGAATTTTATCTTTTGACTTCGAGAATTAACATTTAAAGAGCTGGTTTCACCAAAATGCTGCAGATGATCTGAGGTACCTTGTGATGCAAACCAGCCCTAAATCTATTTTAAAAGACTATTGCTCTCTGATAAACCATACTCCAAAATAGCATGCACCAGTCCAAATCTACTGGTTTGTGCAATTCTAAAGTAAATAGAAGTGCATGCATATGCACATTCACACATGCACATGCATATATATAACCTGCTGTGGTTTTGTATTCACAAGACATAGCATATTAACTATTTAAAAAAAACTTTGTGATGTGCTAATACCACAATAACTTTTTAATGTTCTTGGTACAAATGTCCAAAACGATTAACAAACAAAAAATACACGTTAACTGGAATAAAGGCTTTTGATTGCCCTTATGTAATTTAAGGAGGAAAAAGCCTAAAATAAAGTTGAAGTTGTGGCTAAAGCATATATGGCAGAAACATCAGAAATTTGCTGTTCACACTTAAGACACACAAAAGGAAATGCAGAGTAGAGGTACCCAACAACCAAAACTACCCTCTTATGCAGTGATCGTTTGATTATTCTTAAGATATGCCATGTTTGTGCTTCCACCTGGGACAACTTTTCTTTTTAAAAGAGAAAGATTCAAATTCCATATCTCCCACAACTCCTTAAAATTGTTTTACTGAATTAAAATAAAGTTCTGTGGACGGCTCTACTGTGCAATTAATAGGGGTAACACATAGATTTTTCTTCCATAACTTCAATATTTTTGATACTGATTTTGTGGCATCTAGAATATTACATCACAAGAAAAATCAACACAGAAATTGCCCTTGACATTATTTATGATTATACTTCATTAGCAGAGCCTACTGTTGCATGCATTTTCTTACCGGTATCTATGAACAAATATACCCTTAAAAATAGAGTTCATCATATTTTCGATTTCATCTTGGTTTTCTTGTAGCTGTAAAAAACAAAACAAAAATTAATAAAATATCACTGCTTATTATAATTTGATATTCTACAGTTCCTTCTTGGGAAACATTAGAAGACCAGGGAAGAGCACTTAATTAAAGGTATTAGTAGATTCACCATTTTCTACTTTTCCAGCACATGCCTATATTGTGTGCACATACATACATATATATACATATATATATGCAATACCTTAATGGAAGAAAGTTAACATTCTCTACAAACATCAATTAATTTAGTTTCAAATTAGTCCTTTGAAGTGGTCATCACCATTTTTTTGCTACTGAAATTTAGACAAGTACAGACTATATCCTGATATGCCGGCCGGACCCATCCCATAGGGAAGTCTGCTGCCTCCCTGGGGAAACGATAAGAGACATTACTAGGAAGCTTCCTAGGCTAGTAAAATCATCCGATTATTATCCACTATTGGTTGTTCAGGTTGGCAGTGATGAGGTAGCTGATAGAGGCACAAAGACGATCAAAAGGGACTTTAGAGAACTGGGGCGATTACTTGAAGGATCAGGAGCACAAGTAGTGTTTTTCTCCATCCCTTCAGTAGCCGGGAGGCATATGGAAAGGAACAGGAAGACCCATCTCACTAACATGTGGCTCAGAGGCTGGTGCCAGCAGCGGAATTTTGAGTTTTTCAGTCATGGGGCAGTTTACATGGCACCAGGCCTGCTGGAGACAGGTGGGGTTCACCTGTCGCAAAAGGGGAAAAGGATTCTGGCTCAGGAGTTAGCAGGCCTCATTGAGAGAGCTTTCAACTAGATTTGAAGGGGGAAGGGGATAAAACCAGGTTTGCTAGGGATGAGCCTAGGGGTGGCATGCCTGTGTTGGAGA